AGGGCAAGTGTAGGGTCTTGCATGTGGGAAAAAACAACACCATGTATCAGTGTAGGTTGGGAACTGATCTGTTGGGGAGCACCACAGGGGAAAGGGACCTGAGAGTCCTGGTGGCCAGCAGGATGACCATGAGCCAGCACTGTGCCCTTGTGGCCAAGAAGGCCAATGCCATCCTGGGGTGTATCAGGAGGGGGGTGGTTGTAGGTCAGAGAGGTTCTCCTCCCCCTCTGCTCTGCCCTGGTGAGACTGCGTCTGGAATATTGCGTCCAGTTCTGGACCTCTCAGTTCAAGAAGGACAGGGAACTGCTGGAGAGAGTCCAGCGTAGGGCCACAAAGATGATCAAGGGAGTGGAGCATCTCCTGCTGAGGAGCAGCTGAGGGAGCTGGGGCTCTTTAGCTTGGAGCAGAGGAGACTGAGGGGAGACCTCATTCATGTTTATAAATATTTAAAGGGTGAGTGTCAGGAGAAAGGAGCCAGGCTCTGCTCTGTGGTAGGACAAGGGGCAATGGGTTCAAGCTGGAGCACAGGAGGTTCCATGTGAACATAAGGAAAAATTTATTTACTGTGAGGGTGACAGAGCACTGACCAGGCTGCCCAGAGAGGTTGTGGAGTCTCCTTCTCTGCAGACATTCAAAACCCGCCTGAACTTGTTCCTGTGTGACCTGGTCTGGTGATCCTGCTGTGGGAGGGGGGTTGGACTGGATGAGCTTTTGAGGTCCCTTCCAACTCCTAATATCCTGTGATTCTGTGTAATAACAAGCTGTGGATAAGGCAGGGATTTAATATTTTTGTCTTTTTGTGAACAGGTTGGTATTCCTTTAGCTCCACAGCACCAATGCTGTTGTGGCAGCAACCTCTAACTTGCCAGTTCCTCTCTTGTAGGAAACCACTTCTGTAGGAGAGCACAGGAACTAAATCAGAATGTAATCCCTGTGTCTTAATACCATCGTGCATGAGTCATCCATTAAGTAGCTGGCTGCATTACTGCTCAGCAATTTAAAGATTAATTTCATGGTTTACAGGAGAAAACATTGCACATACTGGCCATCTTCCCTCCAGTAAACATGCAGGGAAATGAGACGGAAAGGGAAAGGAGGTCTTGGCTTGTCTGTGGTCACTGCCAGGCAGAGTGCTTTGTCCAGTTGCAGTTTTGCAGTTGGACTTCGAGCAGAGCATTTTTTCCTTTCAGCGGCACCCCTGCTATGTGAAGTTGAGCACAATCTGGAGAAGAGATTTCACCAAGGGATCAAAGGCTCCCCTTTTCCTGGTGTGCATGCTTGCTGAGTGTGCTCTGACAGCTCAGCGAAGGACTTCTTCAGACTTTACGCAGAATACTTGAAAAAAGAGGGGAAAAAGAAATAGTGAGTCCTCTGACTTTTAATCCCTGCTTTCAACTTCTTAGTTGACAAGTTGACAAGCAGTGAGGTACACTGCAAAATGTCCACATTTGAACAGAAGCCCCAGCCATGCTCCCGGACAGAGGAGCCAGGATCCCATTCCTGAATTCTCTCTTGGTGGAAAACAACTTCTGGCATTTGTTAGTTGGTCACAGGGGTTTTCTAGTGTTACTCTAGAGGCTTTGCTAAATGTTTTGGGCATCTATCAGCCCTGATTGTTCCTCTCACAGCTCTGAATGTGGGGGGCACCCTCCCTGTTACAAGCCGAGCACTCCGGTGTGCCTAGTGCCATAGAGCCACTATCAGAGCAAAAAGCCAGGACATGCTGTGACTAATGCAAAAATGTAATCCCCTCCTCCTCAAAATTTCTCTGTGGAAGAGCAATACATGCAGAATTGCTTATAAAAGTTGGACCGCGAGGAGCTGTGGGTGTCCATGGGCAGGGGAAGAGGCATTCACCAGGCTGAGCTGTATTTGCTGCCAAGCAGACCACACGCGTATGATGTTGGGCAGTGACATGCATGCCACATGTGACACACACTGAAATCAAAAAGCACAACCTGCCTTTGGTGCAGCTTCCGCTCCAGCATGGCCTTTGTCAGATCTAGCTCTGCTGGGATGGGCTGCTGAAGTTCAAAGCAACTGCTGTAACATGGAGAACAGGGCAACTGTGCCTTGCATGGCCAGGACAAATCTTAAATACTTCGCATGGCTCCAGAAACATCTGATTTTGGGAGTCTGCCCACCGCTGGTGCCCACAGCTTGGGGAATGTAAAACCCTGTGATTGGAGCTGCCAGCATGGGGCATAAGGATAATCCCACTGGGTCTCTGCGGGTGCTCAGAGAGTAAAATCCTGACTTGGAGAGTGATACTGGTCCAAGTCCCTCTCCCAGCTGAAGTCCTAGTCCAATCTGGAGCAGGGTGACCAGCACTATATGCTCTAACCAGCACATGAAGACACCTCAGATCTACACATTAGCACTGCAGTGGTTTATTTTCCTCTTTCCTTTTCCCAGCAATCTACATACACTCCTCTGCTGAGAACTAAGCCAGCATTTGCTGTGAGCTCTCTGCAAAGCCTCCAAGAGCCCATTTTGAGCCACAACAGCTCATGCAGAACCTGTCCCTGCACTGTGTATAGCTGAGGCTGCTTTTCTTCCACACATAACAATGTGTTTACAGACACTGGGTTGTGTCATCCCCTCCTTCAGTGTTGTGTACTTCCCGCAACTCCCTGAAGATGGTTTTTACTTTAGCTGCCTCCAGTGATTCTTTATCATCAGGATATGCGGTTGCAGCAGAGCAGGCAGGTCTGGGCTGAGCCCAGGGAATCCCTTGCACTGCTCAGTCTCCAAGCTGCACAGACCAGATGGGTTTTGGGGGGTCCTGCCTGCGGCACGTAGCAGTGCCGCCCAAAGCTGCTTTGAAGTGGTTTTAAGTTCCTGTTGGAAGAGGCCAGCGCTGGGTCTGGGACACGGACTTTACAACTCTGTTTCCATGGTCTGCATTGGTCAGCTTGGCACCAGCCAGAGACGTGGCATGGCATGGCATGGCACAGAGCGCGGTGCGCCTGCTCCCGGCACTGCCTGTGTGGGCTGCGGGGCACCGACTGGCCCTGCCAGCAAGGGCAAGGCTCCAGCTGAGCTCTCTTCAGCACAGACACAGTCTTCCCACCCCTAAATAAATACATCAGCCATTTGCTCTTTTTACCTTTGCTTTGACAGAGTGGCAGGACCTGATACAGGGGCCGTGTTGACGTAGTCTGGCTCGTCATCATCCAGGCTGGCTGGCTGCAGCACTGCGAGTGAGGATGGGGAGCACTGGTCAGTAAGTGCGCCGAGCTAAAAACCACATGCACACGATAGACACGCTGCACGTCCTGCTGATATTTAGCCTCCAGCGCTGACACGTTTTTGCCCCTGGGCTAAGAAACCTCAGATGACAGTGTCAAGGTCTTCTTGACTTCAAAATGGTCGCAGAAAATTTGCAAGCACTTTGCAAGCAGCAAGCGTAGACAGCCTTTCAGAGCCAAAAGAGACAGACTTAGATTTAATCTAGAAAGTTTGCAAACAGGATAACAAGAAACAGTTTGCTTAGGCACTTTCCACAGCAGAGGCAGAAAGCTCTTCAGTATATATGTATACATTCACCACTATCTCCCAGGCCAGACTACTCCCTACGCTTCACAGGAAGCCACACATTAGAATAAACTGCTGTTTAAAGGTTAGCTTAATAAATATGCACCCTTGATGATGGCAGAAGAGTCGCAGGCTGACCCACTGGGTGTGCGTGCCGTGCATTTCTTTGTTGGAGGGAATTACAAGGCTGACCTTGCACTGGGGCAACTTCAAAACATAGGAGGATATAAGTCATGAGGAGTGACATTCTTCTGTAGTGTCCCATGGTCAGGGTTTACAGACAGCCACCTCCGTGATGGCCTTTCGAATACTAGAAACACCCTGTCCCATCACAGCAGCATTCAGTTACAAGTGTGAGTAGCAATTGGCATATCATAGGTGTTTATCACAGACAATTGTGGGAGGAAAAAACCAAACAACTTGAGATGGGGGCGATGAGTTGTTGCCTTGAGTAGTCATCCTGGTCTAGCATGACCACAGGCCCCATCCCTAAATAGTACACAATCGCTATGAACTTACCTTCCGCTTGCTGGAGTTTCCATACGTCTATTGCCACGCTGTTCTCATAGTCTGCAGTGTCATCTGTGACGAAGAAGAGTTTGGACAGGAAGATGCAGAACAGCGAGTGGACTAAAAATGCACCTTTGTGAAACCCCCTCCTACCACTGCACTCTGGCTGCCCTGTGCAATGGCTGTGTTTCCCGCTGGGTGGTTGCCATCCTGCTGCAGATCTGCTGATGCTGCCTCATTGCTTTTCCAGTCCTGACCACATGCCTGGATATCTGCAGGCACGGATGGGGATCAGACTGGTCCCTGCTGCTCCTGCCACCTCTCATCACCCCGTACAAAGCCGGGCAGGAGCAGGGCAGGCTTTAGCAGTGCAGAAAGCATTGTGTTAATTCGCTACGGAAACCAACTCGACTTCCTATTTTGATTGCAACATCCCAGGACAGAAGCTGGAAGCCCTTAAGCAAACATTGTGGCCCAGCGTCATCCTCCAGCGGCTCACTGGCTGCAGCCTTCTTGGGCTGTATGTGATGAGAAACCTAAGCTCGGGTTAGACCCATGATCAATCTTGTCTAAAACCACTGAAAACCTAGAGAAGCAACGCAGGCCCCAAAGCTCTGGAATTGCTGCAGAAACCTCCGTGTCAAAGGGCTCACTTTGGGGGTACTACCGCATGCATTTCCCTGCAGAAAGGGGCAACACTCCTGGTCTATCCCGTGCCTGCGGCAGCCCCTGCACCCTGGCTCTGACAGCACAGAGCTGAGCTTGTGAATGAGGTTTTTTTTCCCCTTGGCTGAGCAGGTTGCTGTCCCTCTCTGCACTTCCAGATAACTTTGTTCAACAAGCACAAACCACAGCAGCAACGTGCCTACCTGGATCGGAGCCGTGAGACACTCCAATGATGACATTTTCATAGGAATGGGAATCCTCCTCTTTCTCTGGTGGAGTGAAGAGAGATTAAAAGGGCTTAAGGAAAGGTAGGTGAGCTGGGAAGGTCCTTCAGCACCTGTAGGACAGGGCTGTAACCCACAGTAAAATGGACATTAGCTAAAGAAAATAATTTTTTAAAACCCCAAGCTCTTTGTTCTGTTGCTGGTTATATTTCAGCTCTCTGGATGAGCCTGCGAGCAGCTGAACCACATGAGTCCCTACTGCTAACCTCAACACCTGCCTCCACCAATGCTGACAGCGCCACTGACACCCAGTGGTGTGGCCATGGCTGGAGAAGTCTGCAGGCACCAAAAGAACCGCCGTCACCCACCCCGCGGCCCTTCAATGCAAAGCCCAGCAGTCAGCTGCTCGCAGCCAGGACAGGCAGCCCCTGCATGGGCGAGGGCTCCACTGCCCAAACCACCCCAGGCAGGAGTGCAGGGTGTTCGCCAGGCATGCTGCTCAGGGCAGCTCCCCAACAGCTGCGCGTTGACACTGCCTCTAGCTCGTCCTCAGCCACTGAAAAAGCACTAAAACTAGTAAGAGATTTTTAAAAAATCATGTTAATACGTTCAGATTTCCCTTTCTCCCTTTACCGCCCCATTTTTCCTTAAATAAGGTGGGGGTTTTTTTTATAAACAAGATATTTTATTCTTTTTTTTAAGTGTTTTTTTTTCTCCTTCTAGTCTCTTTAAATTAAAAATGGGATTCTTGTTCTGAAATTAATTTTAGATAAAAATTGATTGATATCTGAGTTGGCACAGAGAAGTAAGTGCTGAGTACCCAGGGAGGTGAAAACATCTCACAGACGTGTATTTGCCTTGAAAAGCTGCATCTGAATGGAGTGGTGTATTTCACCCCACCTTCCTTCGCTAGCCTATAAACCAAGCACACAAAATATCTGAAGGTGTTCCTCTGGCAAAAACTTTCTGGATGAGGACCTGCCCTTTCCCTGCGTGTCTGGGCAGGACCCTGAGTGGCTGCAGGCTCTGCTCACCCAAACCAGACCAAGCTATGAACAGGAAAATGGCCTCATTACTCCAAATACTCCTACAGCAATGGATAATTTGAGGCTGCCCAGAGAAGAAACAGAGTAAGGACCAAGTGTTTTGTGCAAATGGAGCTGTGGATGCATTTGTGCCATCCAGCCACCGGATGGACTGGTGGGGCCTGGGGCATCCCTCACGCCCTATGGATCTGCTACACCTCCTAATGAATGCATGTCCTGGCCCCACGCTTAATTCAGACTCTATGGCAATAACAGACAGACCTAGGCAAGTCCTGGGACAGCCAGGCAGGCGGCTGGAGAAGAAACCCATCTTGCTTACGTGGAGACCTTACCGCTGGGTGGTATGAAGAACCGGGCACGGTTGTAGAAATCCAGAGATATGGGCTCCCTGCAGGAAGAGCAGCTGGGTTAGCTCTTTGGGCTCCCCAGATTGACCTACAAGAGAGCCAGGAGCGTACTGGGACCAGTACGGCTCTGCTTGATCACGCCAGCAGGCACAACCAGCTACTTACACGTAGGTAGCATCCCCATCCCCATCCCCTCGCAGGCAGTTCTCTGCAAGCACAAAGGGTTTGCCATCAGCACACCATAAACTCAAACCACTGTCCCAAAGCCCAGCCAGCCAAATTCCCCAAGCTGATGTCCCCAGCAGCCAGGACACCCCAGAACGGCCATGAAGCCCCATCCACAAGCAGAACTGGGAGCCTGGAGCAGAGGGATGCAGTCCCCAGGTCCTGAGAAAATCAGGGCTCACCACTTCTGATGGACAGATCATGCCAGCTGGCAGGGAGATGGGGAATGTCCTCCCCAGTGTGGGAGAGGAGAGCACAGCCCTGCATGCCAATAATCCTCTTAGGGTAAGCACCAGCTCATGCTGCCATGGGAGAGAGTGGGGGGCTCAGGAGCATCCTGTCTCCCTCCACTCTAACCATTAATCAGATCAGTCTTATAAAGCAATTGTTAAATTAATGAAGCCAGAGCCTCACCAGCT